CAGATTGACTGGAAATTCATGTACTGCTCCTCAATCACTCAAGCTGGGCTGTCTTGCACTCTGATTGTGCTGATGTGGGGCAAGCTCTGTGGCGTTGCCAGTGTTATGGCAGATTATGGGGACCACATAAACCCAGACCTGTGTTATAAATTGCAATTAGCTTCAGTAGAAAGGGTCTAGGGAGGGTGGAGAAATGTTGTAGAGTCCTGTATTTCTATCTGATGATTCCTGTGGGATAAGATTTTCATCAGATGTTGTCAGAATCTTTATGCTGCCCCATGTAGATCATCACTTCAACTTTTAAATTCTCATTCTTATATTTTAATCTCTCTATTTCATCACACCCGCCTCCCTTCTTAGTACGACACCACCCCATGTAGTACTTCTTCTTAACAGTCTCTTCTACACATTGCTCCTTCTGTGTCTCCAGTGAAGAATTTTCCTGAAATCTGTTGGTCTTCCTCACTTCCTGAATGGCCCTCGTGTGAGTTCCATTTCTTTGGTCAGCTTTGATCAGCCCTCCTGATATCTCCCTTTTCCAGCTCACTGTCTGTTTCTTTTACTTATGCTGGTGTGAAGCGCTTTGGGACTTTGTAATGTCAGAGACATTGTAGACTCTAAATGGTGCTGTTGCTGATGGTTGTTACACAGGGTGGCAACTGGCCCATGTTACCAGAGGACAGCTGGTGCCGGGTGAACCATACCCTGGCAAGTGCCCCAGCTTGTCAGGAGAGATAGAAAAAATGATAGAAGGGAATGGCTTGACTGCAGGTGCACTCCACTGTGTCCCTGCTTGTGTACATTCCAACTGTGGCGCAATGGGGAGCCAGCAATGTACTTGAAACAAATGGGATCATTCAGTCATGTCAGCATCTTTTTTCAAACAGGTGCTGCCTTCCTACTAATGACTAATTTCCGAAGTGATCTGCAGATTAGACGGTGCTTAGACTTGCAGATAATTTCAGCAACTTGCATATAGCACCTTTCATTTGGGGCATTATTAAACAAGTGCTTTGAATCTGAGCCACATGAGCTGTATGAGGAGAGTTTCTATCATCGTGGCCACAGAGAGAGGCAAAGATATTCAAGAAACCAGAGAAAGACTTGCATTTATGTAATGCCAATCAAATACCGTGTAATGTCTAACACAGAAGTGTACTCATAGAATTCCTACAGTGTGGAAACAGGCCATTCGGCCCAACAAATCCACACCGACCCTCCAAAGAGCAGCCCACCCAGACCCATCCCCATCCCCCTACCCTTTCCCTGCATGTCCCATGGTTAATCCACCCAATTTACACATTCCTGGACACTGTGGGTAATTTAGCGTGGCCAATCCAGCTAACCTGCACATCTTTGGACTGTGGGAGGAAACCAGAGCACCTGGAGGAAACCCACGTAGACACGGGGAGAATGTGCAAACTCCACACAGACAATCACCCGAGGGTGGAATCGAACCTGGGTCCCTGGCGCCGTGACGCACCGGCGCTAACCACTCAGCCACTGTGCTGCCCTAAAATACAGATAGTTGAACATTGTGGCAGTTGCAGTAGAGGTCATTGGTAACATTGATATTAGTTGGTGAGCAGTCACTTTTATAAACCTTAGGTTTGCAGATCTTTGAGATTCTGGTGTTCTGATTCCTTTTGGTGGTGGTTCAGCAGTATCTAGGTTGAGAGATAACTTCTTTTCGTAGAATCATCATCATAGGATCACTACAGTGCAGAAGCTGCTCTTCCATCTAGTTCCATGGGATCTTTTACATCCAGTTTGAAGAGCAGATGGAGTCTTGGTTTAACTCATGTTTGACAAACGACACCTCCAATAAAGCACTAGTCCCTCACTGAAGAGTCAGCTTAGATTTTTGGAATCACTGGGACGGAATTGAAGAGCTTGGAACCTGGTTGACTGAAGGCACAGCTGCATATTGGTGGGAAGAATAAAACTGGGGATGTGGAAGAGATCAGATTTGGACAAACTCAGGGATCTTCTCGAAGGGTTGTACAGCTGAAAAACATTCTGGGGATAGGTAAGGAAAGTGTTTGCAAGCAAGGATTAGAATCATAAATTGTAGATGTTGCTGTACTGGGAGCCATCAGTGAGCAGGAGAGAGATATGTGATCAAGATTTGATGTGACTTGAAATATGGATGTGGTTTTGACAGAGCTCCTGTTTGTGGAAGGTGGGCAATCAAAAAAGATTGGAATAGTTGAGTCTGTGGATAATAAAAGTACCCCTGAGGGTTTCAGTAGCAGAAATGCTGAGGCACAGAAACAGGAAAGAACAGCTAGCCACACCAGGCTAGTGAGTGCCTCCACCTCTCACACCCAATCCAAATTAAATCACTTTCCCATACCTTTGAAAACTCCTCTTTTCCTCTCCAGCTTGATCTACGTGGGGGTGGGATTAAGGTTGAAGAACCTCTTTGCTGGGATCCCACCAATTACTTCCATTGACTCCTGTTTGGCAAAAACGTCATCAGGCTGAGCTATGATTTCCCCATTCAGATCAATAGTATACCAACAACTGTACATATTCAATGTGTATGCAAATCTCTGTGTGCCCTTGCTGTCACCATTATGTAACAATGCTAGTTCTTGTAAGTTCTGAGGGAGGGTCACCAGACCCGAAACGTTAACTCTGACTTTTTCTTCACAGATGCTGCCAGACCTGATGAGCTTTTCCAGCAACTTCTGGTTTTGTTCCTAGTTCTTGTAAGCTCTGTTCCTCTGACTCCAACCTCCAATGCATATCCCCCTGCCCTCTGTCCCACCAATGCACAGGAATAGGCAGCAGTGACTCCACTGCCAGTAGCTGGTGAGGATCAGCTATTCAGTGTCGAGCACTCTCTCTCTGTACCGTGACTCTCTCCTTTGTCCTGCTTCCTCCATTTCTTGCTTTCCATTTCTTCAAACATTACCCTGTCAGCTTTCCAACCCACATGTCAGCTTGTTACACAATGAGAAAAAAAACCTTTACACAGCCGTTTCAGGCAGTCAGTCAGTTCGCAGCACAATTGACAGCTGCTTTCACTGTGCATTTTCCAACTGTTGATTCCAGACAAACCTGAAGCAAACATTTTCAGACCAGCTGGTAGCTTTAGAGAATCAGGATTCAGATGGTTTTATTCAGTGTTCATCTCCAGAAAAAGTTGCTAAAAACCAATCTAAACTTAAATTTCCTCAAAGGGGCATCCCCAGCCTTTGCCTTCCATTTCCTTTCTTAGAGTGAAGTTGGGGCTGTAATTTTGAGGTAAGGAGTATTGCCTGGTATGAGTTGAACGGTTGCATTCCTAATGCTGCTGAACTCTGAGTCTTGTGATTTGGGAATGACATGAAACAGTGATGAGCGATGAGCTTTCCCCTTCATCAAACAATATTTGGGATTTTACTAAAATATGCTGTCTTTGACTGTGATCTGAACTTGTTTTCTGTGCATTACAGGAACTTACCCATGCATGTTTATTAACAAAGTGAAAGCAATTGAGGATCCTGAGTGTGCAACAAAGTAGACAAAAATATCTCAGCATTCACTGAGAAATATGAACATCAGTTTCACCTGTGCAAGCAGGTTACTGTTCCTGGAGATAATGTTTATGCACTTGATATTACTGTGAAGAAAGTCATAATGTATGTTTCTAGAGCGTTAGATACAGAATCAAGTTCCATTTGTTGTCCCCATCAAACACTCCCAGGACAGGGACAGCATGAGGTTAGATACAGAGCAAAGCTCCCTCCAGATTGTCCTCCATCAAACACTCCCAGGACAGGAACACTACAGGGCTAGATGCAGAGTAAAGCTCCCTCTACACTGTCCCCATCAAACATTCCAGGATATGTGCTACGATCAGGAGACTTTGTGCAGGGGTAAAGAACAAACTCTGTTTCTTATCTTCACACACACAAATCAATTTTCTAGTTAAACCGGAAGGAGCTAAATTCCTGAAAAGCTGCTTCACAATTAAACAAACTGCCACAGGCCTTTCAGATAACCTTAGAAATTAATTATACAATGAAGCAGCAGTCCTGAGGAAACACAGAGCTCTCCGATCTATCACTCTGTGTCAGCCAGTCTGTGCCAGTCTGTGCCTGCCTTTCTGACAGCAGCATGGAGCAGTCCCCCTCATTAAGCACAGATCATTTCCTAAGTGAGTTAATTAGGAGCTGGTGTCCCTCGGGTGCCTTGGCTTTGTAGTTTTTCTGATACTGTGTGAACAAGAGCTGCCAATCACACCAGTAAAATGTAATCTCCAAACCAGTTCCTCCTGCAGTGAAGAATGGTGTTTTCCTGCCCCTGCTCACTGGCAGGGTCTAAATGTGGTCAGCCCATCATGTGAGAGTCTGCCTGGTGAATACTGTTGAGACAGCTTATTTTGGTGAATGTGCCTTTTCACTGTATTTCTCTTTTCACAGACAGCACCAGAACTGCTCGACATTTTCTGTTTCCATTTCAGATTTCCAGAATTGGCAGGTTTTTTTTTATTTTTGCCTCATTCCAGTGATCAAACTGTATTTTCGTCTCTGTTCACACACGACACACATCGAGGTTTCTGTTACCTCCAGACAGACCTCTCCCGCTGCTCACCTGTCAGCCTTTCCAACAATGAATCCTCCATAAACCTGAGATCATCCCTCAGTTGTGTACAGTACATCTCCCTTTGAAGACCCCCGTCTGGTATACTCACTTTCCTGTTGAAGCCCATCTCCCTAGTATCTTACTCACACATTGTAGAATCCAGTCATGTTTGAACATCTTTGATATGCTACCTCACAGATTATTTAAAACCTTGAACATGTTTTAACTGACTTTTCTGTTTTACGTTTAAAACGTTCACACAGGTATAACTTTTAGGGTCCCTGGCCCTGCTTTAGTTTGAAGCAAGAGCTACAAAATTACTATCTTTAAATGTACAATTCAGTCTACTGTGTGACTTTGGTCTGAGCATTAAAGAATCAAACTGAAAGCACCAATTGAAAGACTTATTCTCCTTTCTTTTCTAGGCTTCGCCCCCTGATTTCTTCAGTACCTTCGAAAAAACCAGCAATTAACCCGGTAACAATCCTTTACTCAGTATTTACGGTATTTTAAAATTTCAAATTCACTCGCCACTCTTCTACTGATGTCGCTGATTGGGGGGGGTCAGTGCTGTGGGACTGCTCTCAGTGGGGGGTGTCAGTGCTGTGGGACTGTTCTCATTGCGGGGGTCAGTGCTGTGGGACTGCTCTCATTGGGGGGGTCAGTGCTGTGGGACTGCTCTCATTGGGGGGGGGCAGTGCCTCAGGACTGACAGCCCCGGGGGGGGCGG